ACCAAGCAGCAGCAGCAGCTACCAAGCAGCAGCAGCAGCAGCAGCAGCTACCAAGCAACCAAGCAACCAAGCAACAGCAGCAACAAACAAAAATAGAAACAGGAGCAGCAGCAGCAGCAGCGACGAAGAACAGCAACAGCACGTTGGGAACTGAGAAACGGTCAGGGGTGAAGGGTGGAGTTGAACCCGCGCGGGGGGGGGTAGACCCCTGATATATCAGGTGTTAGCACTCAGGTCCTGGGTTCCCACCCTCCTTGCTAAAGCAAGACAAACTCCAGCTAGCTACAGCTAGCTTTCGTGATTTAGTTTAGTTCAATTTATAGAAACTGATTGAATTTGACATGAACGTTGAATCAATGGAGTTGGATCGAATTGGGTTCCCTGCGGCGCACATCCCACGGTGCAGCTCTGTCCAGGCCTGAGGGAATGCACAGCTTCAGCTTCTTGTTACTAGAAGCGACGCACTTGTTACTGATAGCTTCTTTGCTCCTAGTAGCGATGCCAGGAGCCCCTAGTAGCGTCCTTGTTACTACTGGTAAGGCACTTCTTACTAGTAGCGATGCCCTTGTTCCGAACCAAATTATTGGTGCGTGAGCTATCATGCGTCCTGTCGGTAGCAGCTTACTAGTAGCTACTAGCTACCGTTAGCTTCTGCTACCTCTAGCTACTTCACCTCTACTAGCGGCCTACTCCCCCTCCGCACTCTCAGGTTCGCACAGCAGTTTCTCGCAACCCGTCAGTTCAACCTTGCGTTTCTGCTATAAACATTTTGCGAAAGGATCTGGATCACAATTGTATTGAAATTGAAAAAACACCCGCCAGGTGTGGCCCTTTCGAGCACAGGCTTGCGACAGTGCGGCTTAGGCAAACAGCTACCCGCCCCAGTTAATGAAAGCAATGTATGACCCTCCAAAAAGGTTGAAGGCTTTCACTATTAGGTTGGAGGCCATCACTACTAAGTCCCTACTAGCTACCTACCTCACCTCTAGCCGCCTACCCCCTCCAAAAAACGACAGGCTTTGACCCTAGTAGCCTCCTTGCTCCTAGCAGCGATGTCAGGAGCCCCTAGTAGCGATGCCGTTTGCTCCTAGTAGCGTTCTTGCTCCTAAGTAAGGCACTTGTTACTAGAAGCGATGCACTTGTTCCTACTAGCTTCTTGTTGCTCCTAAGTAAGGCCAGGAGCCCTGTTTGTCCGATCGCTCCTGGTTTGTCCGTGTCGCACCGTAGGCCACCCGGCGTCACAACGTGTGGATGTGAGGTTCCTCGATGCGGAAGGCCCGTGACATCAGGCGGGAGATGTTTCAGGTTGGACAAACAGTGTTGGTTTCGGTCTGGTCTGACTTCGGTTGGTGGGCAAACCAGAAACCTCGACCCACACTTCGACAGGAAACGTAGACAGCGTTCCGGGTCGATGTGCTTTCAGATTGACGGTGACATCGGTGCATCGCCTGATTGGTGTGGGGAGCTGGAGATTTGGACTTCGAAACGAATCTGAGCTAAAGCGATTTAGGACATGTGACATGTGTGAAGTAGCAAGATTGTCATTGACGTGTGGTGCACATGTTGCCATGTGGTGTAGCGTCACTTTTCGTGGGCAATCAAGAAGCGACGTTTGGTGTCACTGTACCTGTCGAAACTGGTTGTGGCTGCGCGATGCATGCGTATGCATGCGCTCTGCCCTATCCTTTTTGGATGTCTCGGACGTTTGCGTCGACGCATGACTTCTGGAGCATGTCTCGTGCGAAGTGCTGGTTTGGAGGCTTGACGCATGACTTTTTTGGGGGGGGTCTGGTACGAAACGCTTGGTGGGATGAACAGCGAGCTTATAAGATTTGCAAGTTGTGGGTGATTTACAAGTGTTAAAACATTTGCAGGTCCAGGTTGTAACCAGTGATGAGTAGATTCTAACGTGGTTAGGGTATACCAAATTTGTTGACAAAACTGCAAGCGCATGTGTGCAAACATATTCAACTTTATATGTGTTCCTTTTAATGTGGTGACTTCCCTTTAGCAAGGGTTTATAAAGGCCAAGCTTGTAGAAACGCGCGTTTTTGTGAGGGTAGTGATACGCAAGCAATAGCAAATGTAAAGCAGCTCATGAGAAACATTGGACAAACCAAAAAAACAGCTCTAAGTTAAACAAGACTAAGTCTAAGTCTTTTCTCTTTTAGTTATAATGTGTCGTTTTCATTCAAACGCAATTCAAAACCTCCTAAAAACTAAAAGAATAGATGTATTACTAAACTGCATTTAATGAGAACAACACAGCTTACAAAAGGATACAAAATGACTCTAAAAGCAAGAGCTATGGTTTTGCATAGGGGTTGCATGGAATTAGATCACATCCAAGAAAATGTTAGTAAACACCTAACCTTATGGATGTATGACATGTTTTAGCACATAGTTATATAAATGGAACAAAAACAGCTGCAAATAGCGCAGAACCTTGCACAATATCAACTTTCACAACTCCACACACGCACACACCATGACTACCCTCTCTCTCTCTCTCTCTCGGTCTCTCTCTCTATATATATAATATATATATATATTACGATCAAACACTAATGTTTGTGAGATATTTGACACAGTCAATACATGTCTTTAAAGAAACATCATGGATTGAAACAAATGCTCATGTCAAATCAAACATGTTGTCTATCAACCACCAAAGTCATGTGGTTCATCCCAGTCGCGGAGGATGTCTACGAAGAATGGGCCCAGAAGAGTCGTGTCAAACAACGTGTTAACCGGTGTCGCACAAGCGTGTCAAGCGTCTGACTGTTTGAATGTCAGCGTGACTTTGGGCGTTGCATTTGCAAAGGCTGGCGTTTGTTCCTAGTAGCTTCTTGTTACTACTAGTAAGGCACTTGTTACTACTAGCGTGGCACCTGTTACTACTAGCTTCTTGTTACTGCTAGTAAGGCACTTGTTACTAGTAGCGATGCACTTGTTCCTGCAGAAACGTGTCACTCTTTCACCGGACCGACACTCTGGGTGCGCCCACAACGGCGCGCACGGAAATTTCCGAGTACAGCCCACGAGCTTCGGCACCTCCTGGACACGCTCCAGCTTCGTGCCGAATCGCACAACAAATCCGCTCCTGGCATTGAGTGGCAGCACTTCCGCAAAGAAGGGCAGCGGTGCCCGTGTAGCCCTGGAACGGAAACCCAAGGAGAAAGCGACAAAATGCGCAAGCGCAAAATGGAAGCAACGGGACGATATTAGAAACAAGTGCCACGCTACTAGTAACAGGTGCCTTACTAGTAGTAACAAGAAGCTATTAGTTTGAATTGAATTCTAATAGCTTTTTGTTACTACTAGTAAGGCACTTGAGAAACCAATCAACGCAGTTCGTTGATTCGCTCAACCAGACTTTCTTGACGACTTCTTTCCGTGGCCTCTGCGCAGACCCAGTTGTCATAGCCAGGCCCCGTTTTGAACTGAACGCGTGCCAAGTCGCGTGTGCCACGAACTGTGTGGCCACAACTTCAAAACAAATCAAGACATCAAATTAACAAAAACACATTGAAAGACTTGTTCCTACTAGCTTCTTGTTACTACTAGTAAGGCACTTGTTACTAGAAGCGATGCACCTGTTACTACTAGCTTCTCAAAACATGACGGAAGACTTCTTCGAACCTTCTCGTCTTAGTCTTCGCTCGACTCACTATGCTTCGGACGTAGCCCGGGGGGATTGGGCATGGGTCTGGGCCTAAGCGTCGACCGTAGCACCGACTCGGACCCTGTGCACAAAAGACTCTATTTCTTTGTACTCTTACTTTATAAAAAATACAAATTATATATCGGTTTGTGGCGACAGAATTGGGTCCCGCGTGCACATGGCGTGATTTTTTGGGAAAGCATGGCTGGTCCGCAATTTCGACATTTTGCCATGCCTTCGCATGCGACAAACAATCAGGACTGGCCCCGTGCGCATTGACAGGCCTGTGGTCCCGAAAGCGTTGCTTTCACAGAGGCTGGTCATGGCCCCAGAAGTCATGGTTTTGGCCAGAAAGAACTGCGGTGTTGAGGTGTCATCGAATAGTCTTCGATTCGTATCGTTATCAGTGTTTGAGAGCCTAAGGGCTATTTCGCACGGATGTCCACGCATGCCCAGGCTTCGAAGCAAGCCGCACACCACTTGACCAGCACACAAGCAAAAGTCCAGCAGACCAGCAGAAACAGAAGCAACCATATCACCGCGAAATGCGAAAATCGAGTGCTGTTGACTCTTCTGACTAACGTCACACAAAGCAAGGGAGGGTCTCCTGGCACCGCTACTGGGAGCAAGGACGCTACTAGGGGCTCCTGGCATGGCTACTAGGAGCAAGAGGACGCTAGCTAGTAGTGAATCATGGGCTACTCTCCATCGACTCCGCGTGGCGTGGCCGCTGGTCGTTTCGGCCGTCAACATTCGCAGTGTTTGCACAGGCACTAAAACACCATATTCCTTCATATTTCATCCATTTCTCCATATTCCTCCCTTCTTGCGTTTCTTTCAACTTCAACTTATTGGGTTCTTCTCTACCCGCCTTGCTGACGCAAATGACGCCGCTGGCATGAAAACTAGCATTTTCTCCACCATGCCCTTGCCAGGTTTCCTTTCCACTTGGCCCCGTCTGCTCACTGCCACCAGCTGAAACAAACTCCAAATGGCCCACGCAAAAAACTATCCAAGGTCCATGCGGGTGATTTTTTCACAATGGGGCGTGCGTGCCCTTCAACCGATTTTCTGACTCTCTGAGAGAAGGACAAAAGCATTCACCCGGGAACCACTGAAATGGTCTCAGCGGATCCAAGTTGTTTGGTGGACCTGGGAAAAGTGCCACTGCTTTCACATACATTGTAGCCACGAATCAAAGTTTCAGCTCTAATTTGTTGGCAATCAGGGCAGCTGTTTAGAAACGTTGTGTCTTTTGAATGTTTTAGTGACATGCACAAAGAACGAACTTCAATTTTCAACTCTTCTGGTGTCGTTTGCTTTCGTGTTTGTTGGACTATACCCCCCTTTTCTTCTTTCTTCACCCTTCTTCACCCTTTACCCATCGGGTTCGGCGCAATTGGCAAAGGATTGGAATCCTCGGTATGGCCTTGGGCGACGATCGACAGCGGGCACACCGGGACGTCCGGCGAGCCGAGGTGGCCACCGTTGGCACTGGATGGTAGCGCTCTCACCTGGCGATGCACATTTGGGGGGATAATCCTTTTAAAGCGTTGTTCGATTCCACGGAAACTCATTGTTTTTCTAGCACCTCCCCACAGTGTCAGGCTCGGGGAGTAGTCATAAACCTTGCGGCAGAATAAACATTGGTTTCGATCACTTCGCTCTCGCGCGCTCACTCACCACCCCTTCCATAAGGGCAAAGCGCAAGAGTCGATCTCTGGTACTGCACATGGGTGCAGCCTAGGCAAAACAACTCAATTTATCGCAATGTTCTTACGCAAAGGGACCATTGACCAATCAACCTTGGCTTACAAATTGTACCTCACTGGGGTATATTTCAAAAATACATAAACGCGTTGTTTCGCGCGTACATTGTACTTGTGTTTCTTTGCCGCGCTCTGCCCTTTCAATGTTTGGCGCTTGCGTTGGATTCATTCTTCGCTTAGACGCTCGTAGCAACCATAGAGCTCAGTGACGATCTCGCAGCCTTCGGGCTCAGAAACCAAAAAGAACAAAATAAACAACAACACACGTCAAAAAACACTGTGCATGTGAAGCAAGGAAGAACTAGAAACAGTTGACCTGGGAACTGCCGGCTGCAGTACGAGCCTCAGGGCTGTCGCTAGGAGACGCTGCACATGGAAAACTTGATATAGCAATGAACTTTCTCACTATCCTGATGCTTTCGTTTTCTGCCTTTAAGCTGGGGCGGGTGGTGTTTGCGCGGACTCTCGAGCTGTAGTAGCACACTCACTCTACACAGTTGCAGCGGTAAGCAATCTGCTTCCCCAAGGCTCAAAGGATGTAGCGCAGCTGCTGTGTAAAAAGAAGCTGCCAGCTTGCGCTCCACAGACCGTAGCAGCGGAGCAGTGATCCTGGAAGACCCAGACGAGCTCAAGATCCTAGATGGACTTTGCCCCACGCCGGCTGCTCTTGCCAAGATAATAATTAAGTGTTTCTATCAAAGGCGCGCTTCCGATTTCAAGATTTTTTTGCTTGTGTTCAGAGGATAGCTCCTGCAAGCTCAGCCCTGCATTGCTCTTGCAAGCTTATTCCCCATCGCTGGTTTTTCTTGCTCTGTTCAAGACCTCAAGACCTTGTGCGCAGCCTATTTCTAGGTCTGGTATTGACTGAACAAGTTCTTGCAATCATTCCTCCCTGAAGATGAGCTTTGCTGATCGCAATTTTATAGAATTTGGTGGAGACCCACTTTGGCAGGGAGCGCTTGAAGCTGCAGTTGACTCCACCAGCTCTTTTTAAAGCGCTATGTTCACGCTGCCTGTCCAGCATGTCCAAGAATCCAAGCCTGGCGGACACGCAAGAGCTCAAGAACTCGAAGAGATGAGGAACAAGGCCTTGAATGATGCACCAGGTACAGAAGATCAAGACAATCTTGATGAGGAAAAGAAGGTGTTCCCAAAGTGGTGACCATCAGTGTGCTGGGTACAAAGGTTGAAGTGCTCTGCTCTGTGAAAAGGCTTGTTGCTTTGGATCGGGAACAATTGCCTGTTTTTTTGGAGCTTCCGCAAAAAGATTTCGCTGCAAAGTCTCAAGAAGACACTGAATGAGCTGGAAGTGTGGAGGAGACAGACGGTGTGGCCAATTTTGCAAATGGCCTTTGCAAGCTCATGTCCTTACCCACTTGCGCAGGCTCATGATTCTTACCCACGCAGCGCTATTGCCTTTGTAGGCTTATTGCACTGGCCCTTGCAGGCTCGTTGTTGTTGTGGCCCTTGCGGGCTGATTGCTTTTGCTTTTGCCTTAGTAGGCTCATTGCTGTGGCCCTTGCAGGCTCATTGCTTCTGCCTTGCCTTTGCAGGCTCATGTCCGACAAGTTTGTTAGGCCAAGATCACGCATTCTAGCAGTTGAATTGAAGCTCCCTCACAAACATCATTGGCTTCTCCACGCGCCACAGGAGTTGGCAACCCATGGGTTTCTGGTTGTTGGTCCAGTGAGCAGAAGCACAAAGCAGCCAACAGCTGCCAATCCTGCGGCGATATTTCTATCTTTGAGAGGTCCTGGTGATGGGAAGTCTTGGCAGAAGAACTTTTCAAGACTAATTTGTTTCAGTCTAGTCCTGGTTAGTTGCAGCCAAGGGCTCTTTCTAAGGCTTTTGAAAGCTTTCTTCGGAGTAGTTTGGGCGACGTGCCTTTCAGAGGAGTGCCCCTCAAAATGGAGCCACTCATTCGGCCACGTGGAAACCAACAGAAGATCAGCGCTTCATCCATTGGAGGCTGTTTTGGCAGCCATACTACACACCAAAGGCGCACGCATCTCAAGACTTTACTGCCCTTTCACCTCAAACTGCTGTTGTAGCTTCACGTTCAATTTGCCAGTGAAGGCTCATGTTCAATGGTCAACCAAGATTCACATGACAAGTGCACTTTCAGCGAATGTTTTGCATTGTCTTTGCCAAGAATGTGTCTCAATTTCACCTAGCCTGTTTTTTATTTAATTACAATGATTTCCTTGTTTCAAACTATGCTGGACAGATTTAACCAGTTTCACAGAAAAAGTCAACCCAAAAACTCGCTGGCGAAGTGCCTTTAAGCTTACACTATTAGAGACATTAGCTAACCCTTATAACGCCATGCGACGGCGTTAGCAGATGCCTGTAATGATCACGTCACACAAATGTGGTGCGCCGCGTTGGTCGTGTCACGGCGGGAGATGCCATGGCCTCCTGGCCTTCCTGTGACATTCCGGCGTGGCTGCGCCGGCCGACGCCGACCAGGTAATTTCAGGCGTGTGGCTACATGATGTGGTATGTCATGCCTTGTTGATCGATGCCGCTCCTTCAGCCGACCACGACATGCGCAACGAGGCGCATGTCCCTCGCTTTGCATCTTGTCTTCAAGCTTGGCAGGCTTTGGATATTTTGATGGCACCACCGTGCGTGTCGTGGTCCGTCAATCAGGGGCAGCTTCATCTTGCTTGGAAGCCCGTGCGCCACATTTTTGGTGGCGCACTTACCACATCCACGACCGGTGGATCCCGGTGAGCTGCAAATTTTGCAAGCTTTGAGCGGCAAGGACTCCACTGGAGCTTGCCGGACAACTGCTGCCATGGAATACTCCAGCTTTATCAACGAGGGCTTGGAATGAATTTTCTGTCAGAGCTGGCTTCACCGCAGCCGCAAGCAAACGTTTGCTGACCTACCTGCATGTGATGGAAGCTAAAGAGGAGGGGGACCAACGGATGCAACCTGACTATGGCAAAATGCTGACATCACGTAGAATTCTCCACTTTTCACTCGCAGAAATTAGGCTTGTTGGGGAAGGCCCCAACCCGGATGGCCAAATGGAGAAGAAGTTGGATGCGTGTTTCACGCCATGCGTGTTTCAAAGCACGCTACACTTCACTCGGGAGATAACTGGTTTTAAAAACTTCTAAACACGGTGTTTCTCGTTTCTCGACGTCCGGACTGGCACTGCCCCACCAGCCCGCAGCCTCGGCAAGCGACGGTGAATGCACAGGACATCAGGACATCTCTCGGTTTTTCATAATTTATATTCTGACAATGTTTTTTGGTTTGGCCAGCTCCTGCTGAACTAAGTTTAAGGGCACCTGGTCTGCTTCTAGTAACTGGACGCAGGATAGCTCACGCTTCTTCAAGGAAGCTCCTCCCGCTTCCCTAAAGGTGGCGGAGCGGGAGCTCCTTGAAGAAGCGCTCGCACTAATGACTTGGTTCCTAGATTCTTAGGGAAACTTAACAGTATTTATGTCCTGTTGTGCAATCTATGTTGATTCTTCATCTTTGCTCTTCAATTTAATTCCCTTTCACTTCTCAGTACTTCCTTTATACTTCTTTGAAGAGCCCTTTTGATATCCTTAGTAGTTAATTACTTTCATGCTATGGTACACATGCTTCCAAATCCTCCTTCCTTCCTCTTTGTTTCTGATTGCTTCCTCTATATTTTATAGGTGTTCCCTTTAATTCCTCTTTATCTTGATGACTTTATCTTTTTCTCTTTACCATCTATCTTTGTCCTCTTCACTTTCTTCTTCACTTCTTTTTCACCATTATTACTAAATCATCAAATTATTACCATTATACATCCTTTTGCTTTAGTACGTCCCCTTTACATTCGTCCTGTTTTCACCTTTCTTTCGCTTCAAAACTTCTTCTTTACCTTTTCGGCTTTACCTTCTTTCTTCCTAACACACCATCTCACTCGGGAGCCCCTGCGCACTCCAAAAAGCCAGTCACCTTGTGTCAAGGATCAAAACTAAAATGAACAAAGAGTGTTCAAACAATATCATTGAAACAGAGTTTAAAAAAAGAACTGAATTCACACACCTGTTCACACATTTAAACGAATTGAATGACAAATACTCTGAAGTTGTCCCTCAAATTTCAAAAAGAGCTAACGAGTCCAGCCAGGTGACCTCGTGCTTTGGGATGAGACTTCCACGGTCCGTAGACTATCCGACTGAGCTCCATGCTTTTTGCATCATCCAGGCTGAGCTCCAAACATTGCTTCGAATATACCCAGTGGGCATTGGATTTGGGTCAGGGCACACCAACCTCATTCGACGGATTCCGACCTTGTCCTGACTTCATCCTACCTCAATCAAACCTGAGACCTAGTAGCGAACCTTGTTACCACTAGTAAGGCACTTGTTACTAGAAGCGATGCGCTGGTTCCTAGTAGCTTCTTGTTACTAGTAGTAATGCCCTTGTTACCAGTAAAAATGCACTTGTTACTAGTACTCTCACAAGAACCTCTCAAAATGACTTTGTCAGCAAGTCCTTCAATCTTCCAACCTGCAACTTGGCCGCTGCCACTCCTAGGCTAAATCAGAGCATGCAATGACACAACTGTCAAACGAACACACGGCTTAGTCGTTCTGTTTGGGGTTCTGCAAGGAGGCTGTGAAGAAAACGCGTTTCGAGCTTCCATCTCTACCTCTTCACTTCTCTTCACGGCTGGATAGAATTCCCACTTTGCCAGGCTTCCACCAGGCGATTGGGATTCGTGTTGGAAGCGAGACACACACCTGACTGAAGGTCACTCGAAACTTCGGTTCGAAGCGTTTTCGAGTTTAGGAGCAAGAGGACGCTAACGGGGCTGGCCGTACTAGGAGCATCCTTACGAACAAGAAGACTACATTCGAAGATAAGAAGCTTACTCCTCAGGGCTTCTCATTTCGCATGTCGCATCTTCATGGCGCGTTTGCTTGTCGCCTCCTGTCGCCTGGCCCTCATAGTTCGTCTGGCAGCGCCTTTAGTGGAGAGACAATGAAGAAAGAAGAAATGCTTCGCAAAACTGCAACCGAGAACACAAAAATGCAGTTTTGCCCAACTCGGGCTCCAACAAAATGCATGTTTCACCCGGCCTGAGACACGTGCAAAAGGCCAAACGTGTTTTCCTCCTCTTTTCCTCTTTTCTTTTAGAAACAAGAAGCTACTAGGAACAAGTGCCACGCTAGTAGTAACAAGTGCCTTACTAGTAGTAACAAGAAGCTACTAGTAGTAACAAGAAGCTACTAGGAACAAGTGCCACGCTAGTAGTAACAAGTGCCTTACTAGTAGTAACAAGAAGCTACTAGTAGTAACAAGAAGCTACTAGGAACAAGTGCCACGCTAGTAGTAACAAGTGCCTTACTACTAGGAGCAAGAAGCTACTAGTAGTAACAAGAAGCTACTAGGAACAAGTGCCACGCTAGTAGTAACAAGTGCCTTACTAGTAGTAACAAGAAGCTATTAGGAACAAGTGCCACGCTAGTAGTAACAAGTGCCTTACTAGTAGTAACAAGAAGCTACTAGGAACAAGTGCCACGCTAGTAATAACAAGTGCCTTACTAGTAGTAACAAGAAGCTATTAGAAACATGTTCGTTTTTCGTGTCGTTTTTGGACCCTAAATGGTCGCAGTTGGAGGTGTCGTAGACCTGAGGCACAAAATTGTGAATCAACGACAGAAAACGCAAGACAACTGTTTCTTATAACAAAGATGTCCATATTTCTTTTGACATCTGCACCAAATGAGAAACATGTGACAGTGTGACATGTGAAACCAAAGAAATGAAAAGCAAAGCGGTGCAGTTTACGACACGGACGCACTCGTCTGCTGATGGCTTTACACAACCCACCACGGGGAGACAGCCTCGAGAGCGAATGGAGTTCAATACTAATAGCTTTTTGTTACTACTAGTAAGGCACCTCTTACTACTAGCGTGGCACTTGTTACTACTAGTAACAAGAAGTACTGGGTTCTCGGTCTCAAATGTCAAACGGATCATTTTGAGTGATGGTAGGAGCAAGGACGCTACTAGGAGCAAAGGGCATCGCTTCTAGGAGCAAGGGCCTTAGTACTAGTAACAAGAATTAGAATAGAATTAAAAGTAATTAGAATTAAGTTTAATCAGAATTAAAATTAGTAGCAAAGGAATCTACTAGGACCTTTTCTTTGTTTCTAGTAGATGGCCTCCAGCCTAATAGCGATGTAAAAAATGCATCCTTTGATTTCAGTTTGATTTGCAAATTTGCAGCTCACAACTGGCAACTCAAGTAGGCCTGTGAGGATTGTCTCGCTGGAGCAATTGTCATACATGTCAATTGGGCAACTCTCAACCTCGAACGAGCAAAACCACAAGAACTCATGTCATGATGTTTAACAAATAATTGCACATGCATGTTCAAATTTAAACAGGACGTGTCACATCTATTCCTCATGTGCCCAACAGTAGCAACTTCTAGCACCGGAAACAACTGGCACACACTTTGCCCGAAAAGAAGTCCATCCTTTTAATCTGCAAAAGTAGTAACAAGAAGCCATTAGGAACAATAGAATTTAATGTTTGCTATAGTAGTTTCTTGTTACTACTAGTAAGGCACTTGTTGCTAGTAGCGATGCACTTGTTCCCAGTAGCTTATTGAAAAGAAGTCCATCCTTTTAACCTGCAAAATATGTGTTCTTTGTTTCTACTAGCAATGCCCTCCAACCTTAGAGCCGGCCTCCCCCGCACAGAAAAGGAAAAACACAGATCAGATTTGAATTGGTTTCATGGCAACCATTGTGATTGACCATTCTGCATTGAGCTGTGCGCTAATAGAATTCACACTGGGCTTTCCAGCTGCCTCGCCACCATACCCAGCAGCCTCAGGCAACAATCACATCCTCTCAGCTGGGCCCCGGGCCAAAAAGAAACTGCGACATTAGAATTCCGGGGTCAAAATAAGTGGATTGACAAATGCAAGAGGAAAACAAGCAAATGACCAACACAATTTGCTACTCTTAGCTCCCTATGCAAGCCCAAAGGGTCGACTTCCGGTTTGCTGTGAATTTGTGTTCATTCCAATGGCTGTAGGTGATCCAAATGGTAGACATGGGCTGCAGCTTAGTGGGGAAGCAAATGAGAATACCAGGGCTGTAACGTCTTGCTTGACTGTGCTGACCCGGAAACACACATTGACATACATCACACTGCTCACACCTCATTGCACACAATGACCTCATTGTGTCATGCACATGTGTCGCTGGGTGATTTCACATGACCTGATGCTGATATCCACCAATCTCACACTGTCACCGCTGGTGGATGAGAACCGTGGATGAGAACCGCTGGGTAGGGGGAGAAACAAAGAAGTGAAAAAAACATGTTATAACGAGTAGTTCACTGCTGTGGCTGCGACGCTCAGGTTAAGGGACAGTTGGAATCTCGACCAAACTCTTCGAAGGAAGACCTGTCACGACGGCCTCGTTTTTCTTTGCTCGTGGCCTTGCCTCAATTAAGTAGGTGCCTTAATTAAGAACAAGTTTCCTTCCCTCACGGAGCTTCGATTCCAGAAACGGATAGCGACAGCGAGGCACTGCAGGCACTCAAGGACGGGACCCATCTGTCAGGCTTTTGGAAGGCAACGATCCCACTTTTTGTCCCGTTCGTAGCGATGCCAGGAGCCCCGTTCGTAGCGTCCGACCGCTCCGTTCGTAGCGAGTCCCGTAAAGAGGGCTCGGGCAAATCACCGTCAAAAACTTCAGCGTTCGAGAACTCAAGTTCCAAGATCACCCGTTCTAGTAGTAACAAGTGCCACGCTAGTAGTAACAGGTGCCTTATTAGTAGTAACAAGAAGCTACTAGTTGGATCCTCTAAGGTATTAAATTAGAATTAGAATTAATACCTTAGAGGATCCAACTAGTAGTTTCTTGTTACTACTAGTAAGGCACTTGTTAATAGAAGCGATGCACTTGTTCCTAGTAGCGAACATTGTTACTAATAGCAATCATTGTTTCTAGTAGCGATGCCCTTGTTCCTAGCAGCTTCTTGTTACTACTAGTAAGGCACTTGTTACTAGAAGCGATGCACTTGTTGCTAGCAGCTGAAAGAAAGTGCAGAACGTCAAGTTTCTCAGAGAATCCAACCAAACTGTGAGCACTTGAGCTATCCGTCGAAGCGAACGAGTCGCCCTGAGCGGACGAGAACAGGAAAACGGTCATTCGATGTCATTTCCCAAGCAAAGCGGTTCACGCACCCATTCCCTGTGAACGCACCGTCCACAAGCGAAGGCATACTGCGAAACTTGGCTCGTTCTAACTTACTTAGACCAAGTCTCAACAAAAACCAGACGTTTCCACACTCTTCTTGTCGAAAAACCAAGCTCCAGCCAAACACGCACGTGTGTGCCATGCCTCTCCCTAAAAGCAACAAAATACTCACCCAAACAAAAAACAAGAGGAGACAAAAGGACATCAGGCAACCAAAGAATCGGTTTAAATGACCAGTAGACGCGACCACACTACCCAGGACCACAGGGCGGACGACGAGACCAGAACAAACACATCCTCGACACTGTCACTAATAGTTCAATTTTGTTTCAAAAAATGCCAAAACACAAGGAGCAAACAACGGATCTTTTGAATGCCAACAGTCACACATTGTGAGCACTTGAGGTGGAGAACCTGTAGGGTCATTAAGCCGATCAACTGGAAGAGGTATAAAAAGGTGCAGAAAAACGCGCGAACAGCGGTCTTGAACTCGCAACGTGCGCAAGCAACAACGGAGCGCAGCGAGCAGAGCGGAGCGCTTTCTGAGTGCCCAACACACTGCCAACGTAGCTGCGCATCAACCTGGCGCAGCTCGTAGCCATCGTAGCTCTCGTTCACCCTGAAACGTCGTCAGCTTCGCGTTGCATCGTGTTTTTTCCGCACGGGAAACAAAAATCACAAACATAACGCAAGTCGCGGCAACTCTTAGCTCGACGCAAGTCATTGGGACAAACGCTGTGGTTGCATCTGCGCAATGTGGCAAACATTCTCAACTACATTCTGCGCATAGTATAGACAATCACCAAAAAGACTAGACGACAGACTGGCCCACAAGCAAAGTGGCATACAACGGATTATTGAACACGAGAAAGCATTGCAACAAAAAGAAACCAATATTGTTACAGTCATTGTGGTTGGTGATGGTTGATGTTGCGGCGCCTAAAAATCATTCAACATGTTTTACACGCCGCCTTTACACAAACACACTTAGACAGTGCACAGTGACGTCACCGTGG